TCACAGAGAGTCTGTGACTGGAGGTGGTTCGGCCGAACTGGGTCAGTATTCATTACGAGACCCACCGACGTCTTCTTCCGCAGACGGGAGATCGTGTTGAGCCCCTTGACCAAGCGCCAATTTGTGCATCAGACGCTTGTCGACCCGTTGGTCTTCCGTGGAAAAGGCAAAAGCCGTGAGATGAAACCGCAACCAGGCCCGCGTTCAAAACGAAACGCAGGCGAAATAGTTAATATAGTCAAACACACAATACCTCTGAGGTCTCGATCCAATCAATCAATCAATCAATCAATCAATCAATCAATCGAGTAAAGAATCAAGCAATCTTTCAACCAATCAATATTTTAATAGTCATTTCAATATTTTTCACCGACAGTTAATTCGGCGTATTACGCCTCAGACAATAACGGTAAAGAGTGAAATTATTATGAGTTACTACTAATAAAATAATATTTATTTAAATAGCGCCTACAAATGCCTCTCAAAGCGCTTTATAAAGAGAAAAGGACACACACTGGGACAGGAGAACATACGCCAAACTACTGTATTTATTCCACTTTTCCACGATAAAAATTAATCAGGGATGAAATATGGACAACGATCGCTCGAAGTGTGAGGAGGACCAGGGAGGGCGCAGGAATTCTGTGAATTAATTATTGTTTTTTTATTTAATTGCGGTCCGAAGCGCGCGACCGAGACAGTCCTGCGGCGCGCGCGCTGTGCGGTGCCGACCTCGGGCTGAAGCGCGCGCCAGGTCAACGCGGCCCCAAAACAATAACAACTCGCACAGGAATAACTGTGAACAGAAGAGCTGTGTGCAGCAACAAAAAAGAATATTCTCGCTTGTGAGCTGCCCACGAAGCAGGACGGCCTCGCTGCACTAATCTTCAACCACAGTTACACTCGACTTCTCTTGTAACACACTGAGTTCTGCAGGCTCTGCAGCCCAGCAATTAGCGAACACCAGTCCCGAAATGAATAATTGGTGAAGCTTTATGAGTGTTGTGTATGGAGTGTTGTAGTAACCACAAGAACAATAAAACTAACGTTACTTCTGTAGCTTTTCACCAATAAGCGTTTTCGGTCGGACTCGCCTCAATAATCTTGACACTCATAACTCACGCCTAAACCGGCTTTTATGTGTAAGTGACACGATTTAAAAAGTAAGTTACAGACGCCTTTTTTTAAAAAGGGCAAATAAACACAGAAAGGTAAATAGCCCGGGGCTTGGACTTGGCTGCTCCGCAGAAAAGCCTCCGTGCTTTTACACAACAGTGGGAAATGTCAACACTGCAGGGCCTGTACAGGATACAGCTCCTTGGACAGGATGTGAAAAACCTGCCTCACCTGGACAGCCCCTCATCACCAGGTACAGAAGACGTCATCCCAACGACTGCATAAGGCTCTCAAACACAGGCACTTACCGTTTCGGTGCAGCATTGTGCGCGACAAGCGACAGTTGTCTCCCCCAAGCACCTGTTTCGTGAGGAAGAGGCTGGTGTCGCTCATTTCGGTCCAGAACCTCTGTTTGCCCGTCTGACTCCGGCGGGACCGCTGTGAGATCACATCCGCCCCGGAATTTCGACATCTAAGCGCTCCGTTTTCTTGTTCATGTTTGTACATTTTATGGTGTTGAAAAACAGTTATAGAAAATGCTAGGGGAAAAAAAAAAACTTTATGAAAGGTTTCCATCTCCTAATTTGAAGCAATCGTGTTCTTTCACGTAGAAAACGGCTGAGATGAAAAGTGACATTTTATAAAAAGCGTGTATGAGGACAAATACCAGTCTAAGGTTTTGGGGAGCTTACCTCCCATAACATGCCACAAATAATAGTTTTAACACGCATAATTATTAGGACATTTTAGCAGAGGGCGTCTATTGGATGTTTTTACCAAAACGTGATTATGACATTAAAATAATTATCTTCCTTGCAGTTAAAATTCTTTTGAGCTGTGATCTGAGAGATTGTACTTTCTGATCTATTCTGGACGTCTTGCCTCTTGTAGTTTTGCAATGACACATCTCCTATTACAACTGTCTACAGCAACAGGCAATAGCTAACAACAGGTAAACTGCTGCGCTCACACTGTGGGAGAAGACAGAAAGCTAAGCTATCTGGAGCCAGTTTACTGCCAATAAATCTTCACTATCAGCCCGATGTGGCTACAAAAGCCAACTGTTTTTACAGCAAAGGATCTGTGAAGCTGGAAATCAAAACGGAAAATGACTTCCAGGTTCTATGGACTTTCCAAACATTGAAAGTAGGAGGGGAAAAATACATCGTACCGGCATTTTAAATGTCCTCCCCCTGGCAAAACACCCGGATTGACTGGAAACTGGAAGCGTGTGCTTTTCAAAGTGAGCCCCTCATTTTATACTCCTGATTTGTGTTTACAAATTGGACACCTGGGGGTACTGACGATAAATAAACCCAACGGTATCGGTTGTTAGGATCGTTGGGATGGTGGCGATCCTACTGGCCCTGCATGCTGGGTGTAGCCGAGCTGGTGCAGTGACGTCAGCGCCCTCCCTGCGCGTAGCAGGGTCCTCAGCTGCCTGGGCTGGGGGAGGTCTCCTTTAGCTCATGCGGTTGGTGCCCTGTTGCGTTACGCTGGAGACCCGGGTTCGCGCCCCAGGTGTGGGGGACAGAACAGGTGGCGGGGGGCATGACCCCGCGCGGAGCCCTGACTGTCACATGGACGCCTCGCTCCCCTCCGAGTCTGTGCTCGTGCTGATGTCCACAGGGAGGAGGAGCCAGTCTTCCCAGAGTGCTCTGTGCTTGACGACACCAGGCGAAGCCCCCGCTCAAGGGCTTCACTGAACACCCCTGAGACGGCTGCTCTTCCTCACTGCCTGGTTTATAAGAGAGGGCTCCTTCGTGACTTGGTCGTCTCCCCTGAACCCCATTGTCACCCCTTTAAAGAGCAGTTGGCCAGGTAGGGCCTCCAGGTTTTGTCCTGGCACAGGCAGGGGCAGCGTCAGGGGCACGGGGAGGGGCACGGGGAGGGGCAGGCTACGACCCACGCGGGCTGCGGGGGGGTTTTACTCCGGCTGATTAGTTTGGCTTTTGTTGGCCTTTTAAAAAGGTAAAAGGTTAAACCTGGGGATCAAAGAATTCAGTGATTTGAGTTCCAAACGATCAGGGGGAAGGAGCAACCGTGGTGACGTTCTGCAGAATTTGCAATCAGACAAAGCAGCCACAGTCTTGCTGTGGATACTGTATCAGCAGTGCTGGGCTATCTTATCGCAGGTGCCACAGTGAGCTCCATGCCCATTGTGTGCCTGAACTCCATGCCCATTGTGCACAGCGTGATAGCGAGACTCCGGTATGTGCTCAGCCCCTGAAGCCTGGAAGCCTGTAAATCGTTTACAGCTTTAAATCTGTGAGCCTGAGAAGGGTTACTGCTGGGATCACTTCCCTTCTAACCCCTGAAACCCTGCTGCTTTGGGACAACTGTGCTTGAAGGCCTGACAGCCTTGCAACTTCATGCACCTTCACCATGAAAAGCACCGGGGCACCGCGACACCGTGGCGGCCGCCACAGCCAAGACAATGAACGCAGAACAGCTGAATAGATGTACCAGGGCCAAGTGTGCTGCATTTCAGCCAGCAGCTGTTTCTCCCTGCAGCTCAGGTCTGGCAGCCCACTGAGGCTCAGCAGGTGTGAGCCTGGCCAGTACCTGTGCAGCCAGTGCTGCACACTGGTGGTGGTGGAGGGGATCCCCATTTCTGTCAAGCGCTTTCAGTGGAGTGTCCAGAAAAGAGCTATATAAGTGTAAGCAAGTATTATCATGATTTCCCTGTCACTGTGTACCCATGCAGCCCGGTTGAAAACAACAGCAACAGAAATAAAACCCAGCAGAGGGAATCTCAGTATCAGAATAAGACATTTTGTTTTTTCAAAATAGTGTCTGCTCAATGCCTCAGGACCGGGGCATCCTCTTGCTGAGAGAGGCCAGAAGTCAGGACCGCTGATCTACAACAGAAGGCCAAAGCTATGACCTTGGTATCTATCATATTTTCCTTTGAATTGATCCAGCAATTATTTGATGAGAGAAGTTCGAGTAGGGAGCTGCGTCAGCATGCGCAGGCTGCAGTGGAGCACGTAAGGTGTTTTCCATGCTGAAAGGCAAAGGAAAGCCATGTTTGGTGTCCCACCTGAAGAAGGCCCCACAGCTGAAACGTCGCACTTGCTTCCTAAACATTTAGCGTGGAAGCAGCCTTTACTTACTGCATTATTTGATTAGAACTGTCGAACCTTTTCGATTCGACAGAGGTGTTAGTGGTGGCGGGGCGATTTGAACCATGTAGAGCCAAACTTAAACCAAAGGCTTGTTCAATCAGGGAATCAACAGCGAGTCCTAACTCAATATGAGCAAGCCTGGTATAGCTCGGTGAGGTGGTCCTTGCTTTCTAAAGGTTCTATATTTAACACAAAAGCCTGAACCGTAGCCTGTTTTAAAGTGGGCCCTTTGTTTGTCTAACAGAGCAACTAATAAAATCGGTCTGTAAAAGAAGTCGCACTCAAGTGACACTCTGACACTGTCTCTGCTGGACAAGTGTTTGCCGGTGGACAGCTGTGTTGACACATCTGTGTCAGAGGTCAGAGGGCCGGCGGGAGTGTGAGGGGTGTTTAGTCTGAGGAAGAGCAGAGACCGCATGCTGGGAGGCATGCTGGGAGATTTCAGGAACCGTTGAGCTGGCACTCTCTTTCAGGGATGGATTGTGGGAATCGTACACACCTCCCAAGACTGAAACACAGACACCTGCTTAAAAACCGACAAGGGAATGTAGCAAGGCTCACCAGTAAAACACAGCAGCTCTTAAGATTTCTGAAAAAGTGCAAAATTTAAGTTTACACAGTTTGTCAAAGTAAACAGTGTCTGCCGTTTTGGTTTGATATTTCACACTCTTTCTGTAATTTTTATAAAGGGTATTAGATACAGTTTTGGTAACCCCCCCCCTCCAAAGAGAACAGGACACACTCCAAAAATAGGGTTTTCCTTCTGTATTTTTCTTTTAATAAGAAAACAAACATAACGACAACAACAACCAAATAAAACAAACTTAACAATGCAGATATATTAACACACTCCAGCCTCCTTGTTTAAAAAGCAACATATTTTAAATAAACAGCTCTGTATTGCTTTTTAAAAAAATAAAACAATAATGACCTGAAATGGTATTTTGTGGTTATTTTTCTTTTGTCTTTGGTCCAGATTCATTATTTTGTTAATAATAAGAAAAGCGGTCAGGAGTTCGGCTTCATAAATTGACCCACGAAAACTCACTGTCAAAGAGAAAATATCTTACTTGGTTCTTGTGCCTGAGCACAACATTCATGTCGTAAATCTGAGAACAGAGTCACCCCCCTGCCTGGCCATTCTCTTACAGCCTTCACGCTGCTCATTAAGAGTGCAAAACAGTTGAAACAGTAGTGCAAGACAGTGTGATTTTTACTGTGCACGTTTGCATTATGCTACACCACTAAACAGCAGAATCTTAAACCAATGTAGTTCCTTGTGTAACAGCTAAGCTTAGTCCAGCTATTGAAAGAGCCATAATGTTATTCATTATGCAGTAAAATGGTGTTTCTATTATCAATACACATTCAAGGCAAATAAAGTTGCATAGATTTTCTTGCACTGTGAAATTCTAACCAACGACTTTGAACTGTTCTGCAGCCCCTCTCATGTTTTCCAGTGCTCTGCTCTTCCGAATGTCTCTGGGCCTTGCCAGGTTGTTCAGTTTTTTCATTTTGTGTCCTTGTTGTCAGAAATGGGCGCCGAGCACGAGGCGCTGACTGCCTTCATCGAAAGCATGATCTCTGACAGATTCTCCCCCGTCTTGTCCACACTGCCGATGGAGCAGCAAGTCTTTGTTTTCCAGATGCTGAAAACGCTACAAGCTGCCTGGGAACCGAGTTCATCCATTGCATTGTAACACCCATGCAAACCTCCCCCTGTAACGCAGTAACAACCACTCTAAACAGTAACCTGAACCCTTTCCACCTCACTTCCTCGCCTCCAACGGGTTTATTTCTTCCTTATTTATAGGTATTTTTTTAAGAACATGGTTCTATATAAGATATATTAAAAATTATTTTTTTGTTTTATAAATAAATGCACCTTTTGCTTTCCACAGAAAATATTTACAGTTTTGTACACTCCCTAAAAAGCCTGAGATCAAGATATTGTTTCGCTACTCCTTACTTGCACCTCACTTTCTGCCCCTCCCCTCCTCCCACGGCCCCGGTCCGGTCTGGGGCAGGACAGGAAGGGCTCCCGCCGGGCTTCGCCTCCCGCTGTCAGAGGCTCGGCGGCTCGTCGTGCGTCCTTGGCGGTCCTTGAGCAACATCCCTGAGAGTCCAGACAGGAGCAGAACCAATCCCAGGTCGGGCTTGAGGGTGGGGGACGGGGGCAGAAAGGCCGCCCCGACACCCCGACTCCCAGCGACGACCAGCTCGTTGACCTCCCCAGCTCCCCACACCTCTCCCCTCACCCCCTCTTGCACAGGAGCCCCCTGTGCCAGCGGGCCTGGGGGTTAGGAGGCGTTGAGCACCGACCTGCTGTAGAGGGTCTGGTAGTAGGACCCGCTGTCCATGGCGGCGGCGGCGCTGTCGTAGCCGAGCTTGCTGGGCCCGGGCGAGGAGGCGGCGTAGCTGTTGTAAGCCATCACCTGGTCCTGGTAGGACTTGAGGTCCATCTTCTGCTCGGAGGACATCAGGTTGGTGATGGAGAAAGGGTGGTTGAAGTTGTAGTGAGGATCCATGGACTTCAGCGGGTCGTTCTGGAGGTCCAGGTGCTGGAGTGAGCTGGAGAGCAGGTGGCCCCCCCCCAGGGGCTGGGAGAGGGGGTGGGAGCTGGAGGGGGAGGACGACATGGCCGGGGAGCCCTGCAGGGGTGGCGGAGGGCACTCCAACTGGATCAGGCTCCTCTGCTGCTGCTGCTGCTGCTCCTCGGGGGACGAGCCGGCGTGGGAGCTGTCCGAGTGGGCCGAGTCAGCCCCCTCCGAGCCCGGGTCGGGGCTGGGCTGCTCCTGCACCCCATCCGACTGCGCCCCCTTGCCGGCGTCCTGCGACTTGGGGCCGCCCTTCTTGCCGGCCTTGTCCTCGATCTTGAAGCGCTTCTGCCGGCGCAGGTAGCAGCCGTTCTCGAACATGTTGCCCGAGTTGGGGTGCAGGGTCCAGTAGGAGCCCTTGCCGGGCTTGTCCGGGGAGCGGGCCACCTTGACGAAGCAGTCGTTGAAGGACAGGGAGTGGCGGATGGAGTTCTGCCAGCGCTGCTGGTTCTCCCGGTAGTAGGGGAAGAGGTCCATGATCCACTGGTAGATCTCGTTCAGGGTCAGCATCTTGCTGCCGGACTGCTGGATGGCCATGGTGATGAGCGAGATGTAGGAGTAGGGCGGCTTGGCGTGGGTGAGCGAGCGCCGGTAGGGCTTGGCCACCTCCTTGCCGCGGCCCAGCGTGGGGGAGGGGTAGCTCAGCTGCCCCATGGGCTGGCTCATGCTCTGGTAGGGCGAGAGGGAGTTGAGGGGGCCGGGCGGGGAGCCCAGCTGGGTCAGCGAGCCGTGGTTGAGCGAGGGGGCGACCGGGGACAGGCTCATGGGGTTGGAGGCGCCGGGCATGCCGGCCGTCAGGGGACCCCCGTTCAGCCCGCCGCTGGGGTACCCCATGTTCATGGCCGCTGGGGAGCCCACGGGGTTGAGGTTGATGTAGCTGTTGAGGCTGTTCATGGGGCCCAGGCCGGAGCTCATGGAGCTGGCCGAGGAGTACATCTGTAAGAGAGAGAGAGCAGCACCGACTGAGACACCTGGGGCCAGCAGAGAACCCCCCAGCCATGAGATCCCCCCCCCCCCTGCTCCTGCAAGCCCACAGCCCCTGTACCGGCAGGAGCAGGCGTTTAGCAAGTGAGCAGCCTACTCGCAACACGCCGAAAGGGAAGAAACGTCATTAGCATTGCCGTTATCTTTCTTGGAACAGAATGAGCATTTCGGACCTAAAACATAGCTGTGACTACAGAGGCCGGAGAAGCGCCCCTCTGACTGCGATTCGCCACACGTTGGCCACACGCACAGGCCGCTGCCGGGAAGCTGTTCTTTTGCTCCAGGTACAAAAATATTACATTACCCCAGAGCACAATACTTGCTTCTAAAGTCGGGCACAAATTCTGGAAAATCTTACATGTAAAACAAAATTAATCGCATCCCTTGTGCTTTATGTGTTAAGCACAAAATAGTCATTTGAGAATAAACTTGCCGGCGTAAGCAAAGTCCAGAAACCCGGTGACATCCGGCATCGCCACCCCTTAATAAACTCGTCCCGCAAATCGTCAAGACCATCGTGTAAAGACTCTAAAACCGATGTGTTAAAAGTAATCTGCCGAGCTCCAGTCCCAGGCCGATTATTTTACACCTCAGTCTGATGTTTCGATTATGCTCACAAATAATCATTTTAATGATGAAGATGACATTATAGAAATAATATTAACATTAATGTGATATCTTTATTATTTTTATTTTTTTATTAGTGTGATATCTAAGAAAAAAACACTCTTTAATAAAGGCTAAAAACATCACTATGCGAAAACACGCAAAGGCCTGTATATTATTCACAACTTCCGAGACTAAAACAAATCGTATTGCAATGTTTTTCTTAGATCATGCGAATTAAAACCAAACCTTTATTCCCATTTCTATTAGCCGTTTCTTCAGACTTTTTAACGTAAATGACGTTTACTCTCGTGTCTTTTGTGCTGTCTTCTCCATACTTTAAAAAAAAAAGATTTTTTGTGCTAAACTGCGTATTCTTAAATTGTAACTTCCGCTGGTTTCGATGAGTGCTAAATCCGTCGTCTTATTTCGTTTTCGCCAAAATTCAGGTATATAGCATTCAGTACATTTCTGGTTAACAACCAATAATTTTTTTCGAAGCAAAGTTTATAAATCGGAATCGGTTATTTGGAATTTTAGAGAAAACCCCCGAAGAATTTGTTCGTGTCGAGTTTTAAGTAGAAAGACTTCACAAGCCTGTCCGTAAAAATTGGATTCGAGTAATTACGGACTGTAGATGTGTGAATATTTTTACTGACACATTTTAACCCACAGCTTACAAAGAAAGAGATCATCAATCCTTTCCTTTTGCAGATGCCGGGAGGTCAGATATTCGGTATGAAACCATGTGTTGGGCGTTAAACTTATTTCACAAGACCTTTGAAATTACAGTGTGATGTGTTTTTAATGTGAAAAAACACGAGAATGTGTTTGTGGCATTAGATGCTTATTTAACATGTTATTTTAACATATTTGTGTTTTTAAAAATACCTAAATATATTTAGTTAATTCACACAGACGATGCTTTTTCAGGAAAAGCTGTTCCAATTCAGAACATTCCGCAATAGGGTTTCTTTCTCTTACAGCACGGGATAATACTCGCGCAATTTATATCACAATTAATAATCGGACAGAATACCTTTACAATCCAGTGCTTAACCATTTCATTGGTGCTTACTGGACATTATTATTAGTTTAATATTATTTAATAATACAAAAATACCGCTTTGTGCTGCATTAATTATCCTGTGTGCTGGGTCGATGAACACGACGGTATTTTCCTTCTATGACACAAATTTCAGACAAATGTATTTAACAGTTTCCTTGTCCAACAGCTGTTTACTATTTTACATAGTTTACATTTACTATTTCAATTTGTAACAACAAAAACACGCAATCGAAACTATCATGCCACGCGTTATTTCAATTTAACTATTCGTAACTTTTTTTTTCCTTCTGTTGGCCGCTTCGTGTACTACGACAGATCTCAGGTTAAAAAGATTTTCAATTTTCAATAGTCCCGAATTTCTAAAAAGAAAAGTTTCAGTACAGTATAAGAGATAAGATTTATCTCTTATAATGAAGTACGAACTGCAAATTAAAACAGATCTATTATATCTAGAATAAATTATTATTGTTTTTTTTCAGAAGCAATTGGGATCGATAATAAAATTAAATTAAAACACACTCCCCTTAACTTAAAGAGATTACCAACTCAATTTCCTGACAAAAAAAAAGAAAGATTTGTAAATTAATATTTGAAGAGAACATCAATACACAACGCATTTCCAGCTCGTCCAAACTCTGGGTTTCCAAATGGAGAAATCTGCGCAGAACATCGTCCAAACGGCACTAGTTTTATAGAAGTTTATTCGATTTCACGTAAATTGGATGGATCTCGTGTGTCTGTATGTCACTCACCTCGTTGGCTTCGCTGTAGAAAGAATTCCATTCTGGAATGTCGTGGGACTCCATCTTCACCGAGCTCAACATCCCCGACACAAGCCTCCCTTCTGGCGCGACAAGTCGCGATCGGCCGGCCGGTCTCGACCCCTGCAGTCTTGGCGTGTCGCTGAGCGCTGGTCGGACTTTCAACAGTGGCTTCAACGTCGAAATCTTGGCATCAAGACAGATCCCGACGCGCGAAAAATGGGTATTTATTAACAAAGCGAACTAAACGAATTAAACGTTTCTAACAGAAATTGAATTGATTGGTAAAATATATATAATTGACAAGATTTTAGATTCATCCAGTTCACCTCCAAATGTCTCCTCAAACTTTGGTCCGATTTTTTTTTTCCCCGCCTGGTTTTATTTATCCATGTTTCAGAAAATCGAAAAGATATTTCGGTATTTCCCTGGAAAAGCAGTTCTGTTAAAATCGCTGTATAATTCCGTGAACCTCGCCGTGCGTCACCGCGGGGATGACTGTCTCTCTTTGCTATGGTCAAGTTGTTGCTCGGTCCTTAAAACGCAGGTAAGGACCCGCCCCGCGGGGCAATTTGAATAGAGTCAGGAAGAGCCCGTTAAAATGGTCTCCTTTGCCCCCTGCTGATCAGCTTATTAGCTTCGCCCACACTGCCTGCTCCATTTCAATTGCAATCGATTCCACAAGCCCGCGTCGCGTCCGAACAGGTGCCAAACACGCCGATTTCAGGTTTTATTCGAAGGAATTCGTGTCATTAAAGACTCCCGAGGTCTATAACCTATCAGTTAATGCCCAAAACACTGTCCGCACGGCGGGGACTCCGGTACGAGTCCGCAATTAAACCTGGTGCTTGAAGCGAGGGGTCACCCCATTCCCGGCTGGGGGCTACCTGGCTTTTGGGTCCCGCTGGCCCGGAGCCCCAGTGCTCAGTACATGGGCGTGCTACCGTTGTAATAACAAGAGTAGAGAGATAGGTGGACATCCTGCCGTCTTTGAAAACACAGCCTTGTGCCAGGCTGGCCGGGCATACATGTAAGCGGGGCTCTGGGGAACAGGTTGCCCCTGTCCCCTCACAACACTCACAGAAAGGGGGAGTTGGTTTAGTTCAATGGCCTTCGACGCAAAACAGTTTGGACTTTGAAAAGAGCGCGACTCGAAGTACAAGATCTCCCCTTTTCATCCGTTGGAGGACGACGAGCCGCCGTGGGACCGTCGGGACTTGGGGTGCGAGGGGCGAGGGGAGAGTTTTGTTACTTGCCCCGGCTATCACCTCGCCTGGCGAGGCGCCGCCAATTAAAAAGACGCTGATTAATCTGGCCACCCTCACACAATGAGTTACACATTCCTGCAGTTCACACGGGCCTGTAGTCCAGCCTGTTTTCAGCTCCTCGTTAGAACACCGAGACGGAGAACGATTCAGAAAAGTCACACCGTCCTTCACACTCTCCATGGAAACGGAGAAGGTAAAAACTGCTAATATAGGAAGACAGAAACCATTTATCGCGAACAATTCAGTGTCTCTGTTTTATGCAGAAGCCGGACAGTGTTGTGGCCGGTGAGAGGAAATAAAAGTCTCTCCTGTCGCCACGGTCACTCCGCCGTTCGCCCACACAGGCAGGAAGGCGTGACAGAGAAATGACTTTTGATTTAGAAAGACAGAGCAAGAACCTTTGACAAAAATAAACATCTCCTGCAAACATCACAGCAAATCCCATAGTACAGGAAAAGGAAATAAAGCGAAGACGTGTGTTTGTGTAGTGTAGTGTGTGTAGTGTACTGAAGACGTGTGTTTGTGTCTGTTTAACTCTGTTCATGCGCTTCTCCTGATCTTAAAACCTCTATTGCGTTTAATGAAACGGCGGAAGAGTTATATTTGAAAGCTTTTTATTGGTAGTTCTGAAAAAAAAAACTTTTAAAATCCAGCACTTTGATCTATAACCATACCCCTGTAACTCCGGTTAACATTCTTAGTAAAAATATTGAATAGCCGACCTCGAAAATACAGTCGCAGGCCAAATAGGTGCTCTTTGGTCTCTTGACAGGAGATGTCGTACTGCCCACAGCCGTGTCGACAGATTCATCGATTGCAGGCGTGTCGTGTAGGTTTAAAAAGCCTTCAGCCCATACAGTCAGGGTGCACGTGCTTCTGCCCGGGTCCGAGTCCTGTCCTCGGTGTATTGTTTCTGACGAGGGAAATGGGGTCCTTCCAGTTACAAGAATAGCAGCTCTCGACTTATAAACAAGAACATCGAGGTGAATTCGATTCTTTTCTGTCTTGGCGCTATCCGTATCGGAAGGCGTCGCTTGCACCCGCCTGCGACAGCGCTGGGATTGATAGAACTACGGTCGGTGCTGAATTCGGGTTTCATTCTCCGAGTTAATGATCGCTTTATGTCGTCGAAGTAAAAGGGCATGTCTTTCTCTTCCTTTTTTTTTTTTGAAGGGAGCTTTTAAGCTTTCCGTTCGGCGTTAACTTCAAACAAGCTGCTTGCACGGACGTGTAACATCTTGTGTTGCCCTCTCCCCCTCTCCGAATACACATCTGCCCCCGAACCCGCGACGGTAGAGGCATCTGAATCTCAATGCAGCGCCTGATGGCTCATGAATGCGGAGGGGCCGGCGGCGCGCAGGTGGCCGATGGGATTAGCGCGAGCGAGTCGCCCAGGAAGGTCAGCTGGAGCCCCCCGCCGAGCGCGCGAGGGGCCGCGCTGTCCGGCTCGTGCCCCGGGTCCCGCCCCCGAGCAGCTCACGCGTCGCGTCGTTAGCACGGGCCATTACTTTTAATTATCGTCATCAGGCGCTCGTGGGAATGAGCGCCTCGGCTTCACGGATTCTGCCTTGTTGATGTGCACTGTGCTGTTGTGAACAACATGCTTAAAAACCTGTTAATAAGGCCTCTGTGCATAAACTTTGTTTCTTTAAAGGAAACGTACTGGACCAATCGACTGCCTATATTGCCTATATTGCATGGCAAAGAAGCACGTTTTATGCTTATTCACATTAAACACGATATTATTTCATAGAGTTATGAAATATTGGCCTTCGACACCATGACCTACATAGACAAGTGAAAAAAAACAACTTTATTTTATATAGCGCCTTTAAAGGTGGCTTCTCAAAGTGCTTTACAGGATGACAATAACAATAAATAAGAAGAATATAACAATAAATAAGGAGAATACACAAGATAAGACACAATTACAATATATAGAGGAGACCGTGGATGGTGGTACTAAGAAGAGCAGAGGGGTGAAGAAAAAAATAAAAAAATAAAAAAGGGTGAAAAAAAAGACCAGTCTTCTCTATTCTAAAAACGCACACTCTGCTGCCCTGGAAAATTGACTCATCAGATATTCTGAAGGAATGTAAAATGTGCATTTAAATCCCTATAAAATACGTTCACTGTCATTGTTATTTTTTCCTTTGGAGTTTACATTAAGGTTAACCACCACGTGCATAAGAGGTATGACAGTACTTTTTCAAATGAACTTTCGGGAGGATATAAAACTATCGCTCCATGCAATACGCAAAATTCGCATTTTAAAAGAACAGATTATTCTATTAAAACGCGCGTCTTTGCACACTGTACCATGCGGTAGGTTTTTCGCTTTCTCTCCGCGCCAGCGGGGATGCGGATGTTGTTCTCGTTTGTAAAGCTGCAGTCTGAACCCTGGGAGCTGTGCGTGTTGTCTGAGCGCCCAGCTCCCTCCCTGCAGCGCTGGGAATCGGCCCAAAGACCTCATTTCCCTTGCCTGTCACCCCGCGCACTGGTTGGGGTTAGAGTCTCCATTTGATTCACGGATACGATGTACATTGCTAAATAACAGAGCGCGGCTTAGCTGCGCCAGTTCAGGCCCGAGTGAGTCTTATCCTCGCCGGAGGTGAGTGAACACGGGATGACCTACTCTGAAAATTCCCAGGTGGAAAAGCCGGAATTCCTCGGGTCTCATCCAGGCAGTTGTACACGGGGAAACTCTTTATTATTACTTAGAAGATAAACGGTTTTAACAGGCCCTTCACAAGAATTGCTTGAAGTATTTTTCTGTATTAGGCTGGAACTGTCCTGTAGCGGGCGGGGTGTCGCAGTGATTGGCGGGGAAAGACCGACCGAGTTCCATTTAGATGCCAAAACCACTTCCTTGCTAATCTCGTCCCCTGCAGTCGCCACCCCCAGCGCTCGCTGGCCCATCCTCCCGCAGACGGACCGGTTATCATACCAATGCGCCAGAGATTAGTCATTAACACCTCAATAATTAGATAACAAAGGCCTGGATGATTTAGCGCTAATAGGGAGGAAGCCAGCGATTGGAAGCAGGAGGGTGATTGCTTCGCCCAGGAAGGCCCGCGGTGCGGTGTGGCCGTAGCCCGGGTCGCGCTCCGCAGACAGACCCCGTCTCCACACCTCCTGCGAGCTCGCTCGCCCGCCATCTTCTCACGCACATTTACACGTGTGACGACGCCCTCAACACCTTCCGGTTTTAAAGTACGTTTCACCTTAAGGAAGAACCGAGAATTTCACGTATTCGGGCAACACGTTGGGTGTTTTCTTTTTGTTTCAAATAAACTGTATGCTCTCCACACATACGTATTTTAGAAACCCTGCTCTGGACAGCTAACCTGGGTCGTGCTAAAATCCAAGCTCCCAGCTCAGCCCCATCATTTTAGGATGCTAGAACTCCAAAGTAGTAAACACTGTTCTTAACTGCATCATCGTGTTTGATCTCGGAAAACACGGGCAATTTACACTGCCCGTGTACATTCAATCCAGGTGTCCGAGTAGGTAGTCTGCACGGGAATAGTCAAAGATTCCTTCAGAGGGAAAGAAACACGTTTGTACGAGGCTCCACGGCCGAAACATTGCGTTTCTTTTCTTTATCTTTCAGCGTGGAATAAACCTTTACCTGTTCCTTATAAATTCAAGTGCTGTTTGAACCCTGTCTTAGCACAGCGCCGCGGAGAGCCTAGAAGACTTTGAACGAAGTGCACGGGCGCCCCCTCCTGACCAGCTTGCCACACCGCATCTCTTTCGAAACCCCCCGCCAAAAAACACTCGATGATCACCGACTACAAAAGCCCACTAAAGCGTCGGTTCTTTTTAAAAAAACGTGTTTTTTTTGTATGTTAACACAACTGTGCTTGCATTCCACGTGGGCAGACTGCCAAGTCTGCAGTTAAAGAACTGGATCAACAGTTATCCCACAAGGAGCACCAGGCGGTTTTCAACAAGCAGTGTTCGAAACCCAAAACACAGGTAACCCACGGAAACCTGGTAGATAACCTAAAGATATCGTTACACCAAACCCCAGATTTTATGCTACGTTTCAGACATCTGTACTGTCAAAGCAAAGGCTTCTTGCATGGCAGCTACCTTGTGTGATTAAACCCTTTTCCAAGGATACGTACTGCTCTGTACTCCACTGTGAGGGCAGGAGCAGACAGGGAAGGTTCCCGCCAAACTAAAAAACAAGCACCCTGCGCATATAGAGATAAAACACGAAGCCTGAAAGGCAGCCAGCACAACCACATTGGTGGCTGGTCACTGGGCCCCGACGCAAGACATCTAGACATTAATGTGGTTTGCAAACCACAGAAGCCATTCTGC